TCTGGACAAACTATTAAAGTGAAGAGGCTTTCAGTTGCCAATGAAGGCAAGTATTGTCAGTGTCGTCAACTTCTCAGCCATAACACATGGCCGTGAAATCTGGTCACATAAAGGCTAAAGAAAGAAAATGACTGGATTCTGGTGCTGAATAGTATTTTGGATAGCAAGTGCAAATAAATCTACATTGAAGTAAAAACTGTCAGCTTATTTGAAGGATAATGAAATAAATTCATTGAATAAATGAAATATTTTGGATACATAATGTGAAAACAAGACTTTTTGGAGAGAAAATGATTGGAATGGTTGAAAAAAGCAAAATCAGTTGAAAAAGGAACTGGCAAAACCCTAAATTGGTTAGATACTATCACTGATTTCACAAGTAGAAGTTTACAAGAATTCAAGGAAGCCATTATTGGCAGTCCTGGTTTATTCCATCCCAAATAGAAGCAATTAAACAACGAAAAATTCTGTCTCACAGATCATATATTGTTCTACTAATGAAGTAGTATCTATCTGCAATCCAGACAGTGCTATTGTATAGGAAAATATAATGCTTTTAATTTATCAAAGGAAAGTGTTTTTTTATTTAATGGATGCTTAAATAATCAAGGAGTAGAAGATTTTTGAGGCTTATCCAAAGAAAATCAGTGTATAAGAAACCTTGAAATTAAAATGGTATCTTTATATTTCTTTTTTGTGATGTAAGCAATGAATAGACCTCTTTGAGATTAAATCAGGTGATTAAATTTTCACTAGAACTTTAACCACTGTATTCAAAAACTTGTTTTACTTTACTAGTGTTTAAAAATCACAGTTAAATATTATTTTGAGGATGGACATGCCTATAAAAGATGATGTCTTTAATTTGCTTTATAAGCACCAATAAATAGTTATTCCATATCACAATACGACACCTATTTTGGCACATCTTGTCTATGGGCTAGGAATGAGCAGGTACTTTGTTCTTTCTCCATGGGGAATCAGTGCAACTGAAGTTTGCTTTGTTATTAGCACTGTAGGAAGTAGAAAGAACCAAATAGTCCCGCTGCCACTGTTGGTTTGTAAGCAGTGTGTGAGCACATCTATTTAAACAAGTCTTAACTACTTCCATTAGAACTCTCTCTGCTTATTAGGTTGCAGCTGTAAGCTCCATAAAAAGTCCCAGGAACGTCCCCTCCTACAATGAAAAGTTTATCACTGCCTGGACCAGAGGTAGTATTCAGCCAGTTCGGACTGGTTCATCCAAACCAATAGAAGAAATTGTGGGTGGCCACCCACTTTCCCTCCCCAGCTGTATGCTGTCCTATGTAGAGATGTTTTCAAGCCAAAGCACATGCGCTGAAGGCCGAGCAGATGAGTGAATGCATGCGCACTCACATTTGCAAACCAGTAAAGTAAGTGAATACCACCCCTGGCCTGGACCCATCTACTAGATACCGTCCTGGAGGGATGTGGATCTAATTGGGAGATGATTGCACTGACTTCTTCCTTAGAGATCTGGATTCACTGATTTCTGTTGCTTTTATTCATTTGCAGGTGTATAGGTGCATATATATTTGCTCCACACATGCACCATTTTTGTCTCAAAACAATAAACACATAAAAGTGTCAAGTGGGACTATGTCAAAGAGGGGCTAAACAAGATTGTGTTGTATTCTCTTGAGCGCAATGCAAGTGAAGGTCCCCTTCCCCTAATCCCAATTCAGTGTGTAACAAACAGAATACTCATGAGACTATGATGTCAAGTACATCTTTACAGTCATCTCTCCAGAATGATTGGAAGTTTAGGGATGGTTGGGGATGATAATAACTCAGAGATGGGGTGGAACTACCCAAGACAGACTGGTCCACAACATAGAGGTAAACTCACAGATCCTGCTTGAAGAGAAGGCAGCAGTTATAGCTAGGAGACCCTTTACACAACTTCAGGTTGTGTGCTAGTTGTGGCTTCTCCTGGATCAGAAGTTCCTAAACTCAGTCATACACAACATGGCCATTTCATGCTAGGACTTCTGAAATACTCTCTACATGGGTTATCCTGGAAGAGAATTTGGAAGCTTCAATTGGTGCTGAGTGTGGCAGCATGGGCAGTTTTAGAGTGACCCATGTTACACCACTGCTCCAGAGCTGCAGTGGTTATTGGTTTGCTTCTGGGTGCAATACAAGAT